GCCTTAAGAACAGAAGGAGGCCTTAAGAACAGAGAATTCTTAAGGGGACTAGCTCTCCCAAGGGAACTGACTTTATTTGGAATAGAGCAGGCAAAAAGATGTTGAAAATCTTTGTGGTGAACAATTAAGAGGATGCTGGTAGTTCCCCAATGCTAGAGCAACTAGTGAAATAGCAGACAAGTTAAATGTTTAAAAGAATTTTTTAAAAAAGATAGCAAAGAGCCCTCCTGGGGTTGGAGCAAGTCTCAAAGACTGGCAACACCTTATCCCTACAGAGAGGCCCCACTTTTATAGGATCAGACTGGTGCTGTGTATGCCCCAGGGTGTGGCAAAAACAATAGAACAATTAGTAGAGGCTAACAGCTGGGTGTATGGTACCACTACAGACAAATCAGCCAGAAGCTTATAAAAGGAAGACCCAAGAAAGAATCTGCCAGAATCCAACTGAAACCTCAGTCATTTCTGGTGGACAGAGAGACTGTGCATGCTCAAGACAGCATCCTCTGAGAAGTGATGTCAGAGGCTACACACTGCTGGGCAAGTAGACTTCAATGAACTAGAAGTAAAAAGGGACATTTTCTAATGATAAAAGGATCAGTTTATCAGGAAGACATAATTAAATCCTCAACAACAGAGTCCTAAAATGGGTGAAACAAAATGCGACAGAATTAAAGGGGAAATAGATAATTCAACAATAATAGTTGGACACATCAACACCCCACTTTCAGCAATAGGCAGAACATCAACAAAGATGGAAGACTTGAACAACACTATGAATCGAAACATAACATCTCTAGAGCACTTCACCCAACAAGATCAAGCCTGCTGAATAAGGCATTATTTAAAAGTTCATTTTATTTCTATAAACTAGCAGCGAACAATCTGAACATGAAATTCAGTTTACAATGGCATCAAAAAGAATAAAATACTTAGGAATAAATTTAACAACAGTGTAAGACTTACATACTTTAAATTACAAAATATTATTAAAAGAAATTGAAGATCTAAGTACAGTAAATGGGAAAATATCGCATGTTCATGAATTGGAAGACCTAATATTATGAAGATGGCATTACTCCCCAAACTGATTTGCAGAATCTGCATTCCCATCAAACTCCCCAGTGGGCCTCTTTCATATGAAATTTCAAGGGACCTGAAATAGCCAAAACAGTCTTATAAAAGAACAAAATAGGAGGACTCACACTTTGCAATTTTAAAACTTTCTACAAAATGACAGTAATCAACATAGTGTGTTACTGGCATAAGGATAAATAGATATATAGATTAATGGAATAGAATTGGATGTCCAGAAGTAAAATTATGGCCAGTGGTTTTTCACAAAGGAAGTCGGACCCTTCTTATACCCTATACAAAAATTTACTCAATTGATCATAGACCTAAAAGTCCTAAAACTATAAAACTTTTAGAAAAAAACATAAGAGTAAATCTACATGATCTTGGATTAGCCACTAGTTTTTCAGATACAATACCAAAAGCACAAATGTTAAAAGAGTATAATAAATTATAATTCATTAAAATTAAAAAATTTTATATTGCCAGCCGTAGCATCAGTGAAATGTTAGCTCACAGATGGGAGAAAATATTGCAAGTCATATATCTGATAGTAGAGTTATATACAGAACATGTCAAGAATTCTTACAGCTCAAAAATAAAAAGGTAAATAGCCCAATTAAAAGCTGGGCAAAACTTATGAATAGACATTTCTGCAAAGAAGGTGTATTTGCATGGCCAATAAACACATGAAAAGATGCTCAATTACCCTAGTCCTTACAGGAATGCAAATGTAAACCATGAGCTACAACTTCTCATCTACTAGGATGGTGTAATAAAAAAGATAACAAGTGTTCATGAGTATGTGGAGAAATGGAATTCCTATTATTGCTGTGGGGAATATAAAATGGAGTAGCTGCTTTGGGTAATGGTTTGGCACTTCCTCAAAATGGTAAACATAGTTAACATACAATCCAGAAATTCTACTCCTAAGTATATAAATGCAGGAGAAATAAAAATATACATCCACACAAAAACTTACACATATTAAAAGCATTATTCATAGTAGCCAAAAAAGTAGAAACAACCCAAATGTCCAACAACTGGTGAATGGATACAATGTGGTATATCATACAGTGGAATATTATTTAGGAATAAAAAGGAAGTAAATACTACATGCCACAACTTGGATGACCTTTAAAACATTATTCTAGAAGGAAAGTCATTTGCCCCAAAAAACCCCACAAATAGTGTATGATTTCATTTATATGAAATCTATTTAATTTTACCCTTTAAATGGGTAAATAGTATAGTATGTGTATTATATCTCAATAAAACTATTTAAAAACAACAACAAAAATAGATGTGACCATAATTGATATGTACCAGCTTAAAGTCGTGTGTATTTCAGAGGCCAGGTTGATAAAATGGTTAATTGTTTGATTCAAGAAAAAAACATTCATCACCTGCTTTACTGAATGCTCAGTTAGCTGCTCTGTGTTGATTTAGATTAGAAGGCTACTTTCTAATCTAAATCAACACAGAATGCTATAGGAAACATAGTTTAAGGATAGATATTTTATTCAAGGTCTGACTGAATTGACTGACTGTAGGGCTACGGAGTTAAGTTTAAGTCCAGTTTATGCCATTTAATGTCTGTTTTTTAAAAATCTCTAAACAATGAAATGGCATCAATAGTTGAGGATTTTGTTGGACTGTTTAATTAATACAGACATACCTTGTTGTATTGCACTTTGCTTTATTATGGTTTATGGATGGTGTGTTGTTTTACAAATTGAAGTCATGGCCCTCCACCAACAAAAAGATTACGACTTACTTTATTGTGGTGGTGTGGAATCAAACCTGAAGTATTTCCAAGGTATATATATATATACCTGTTCCTAATACATTTTAGATATTAAATCTATATCAAAATTAAATTAGTTGTGATTCACTTTTAAAATTCAATTTCTTAATAATTTTTAGTCCATGAGAGAGAATGTTGGGAAGTGCAACTATAATAAAGGTTTTTGTAATGATTTATAATACTTAAAATATTTTGTTTAAAAAGTTTTAAACAATGTGGCAAACTTAGCATGTCTTTCATGGAAATGTTAAGTCACCGTTGTTTAAGTTTGAGTATGCAAGAGAGTTCTTCATATTAAACTATCCTATATAATAAAAGCCTAATATGCAAATCGACCCAATGGTGGAACAACCGGTAGCTATGACGCGCACTGACCACCAGGGGGCAGACGCTCAATGCGGGAGCTGCCCGCAGGCCCCCAGGCCAGCCAAGACAGGTACCAGCGGGGGGCCGGCGAGCAGGTGGCACCAGGCTGGCCAAGGTGGGTGCCAGCAGGGGGCCCCCTGATCACCCCACAGTCGCCCCACAGATTGGCCCTGATCGCCGGCCAGGCCTAGGGACACTACCCGTGCATGAATTTCATGCACAGGGCCTCTAGTTTGTTTATGATTTGTAATTGATGCTAAATGTATCTTTGAAAAATATGTATTTTTATTGCACTGTTGACACAATTTGGGTGATGGGGAAATCATAGAGAGCTGGTTGCAAATATCACTAAATGTATTTAAAATCTTTGAGGAAATCATTTGTGAATTATAACATGCCTTGAGTGTCTTGTTTGACATTGTGCCAAGGTATTTCCTCATCTTCTTTAGAGCACTTTAAAATTTTCCATTATATAACTAAATGCATGTGTTGATTCATTGTAGTAACTTGAAGTAAGTTACATGCACTGGTATTTTAAACACTGGTATTTAAAAACAAAATAGTTGTTTCTAAGAACACTTAAAAAATGTACTTTGCTTTTCCTTATAATCTTTTTTCTGTTATCATAGTTCCCTCTTTATTTATTAGCTACAAGTGCGGAAGTGCAAAGTGTTGTTAACCAAGTTCAATACTCCTGCAGTCTGAGAGCAGGTTTTGACAGTCTGTGGGATGACATATGATACTGAAGTGTTTCCCCTTAAGATACTGAAATGTTTCCCCTTAAAGCATGAGATGCACTCTGTTTTTGAGTTATTTTTTCTAGTGCAAGTTTTGACCTGTTAATTTCACAACCCATTAAAGTTTGAAAGTTTCAGTTTGTAAAATAGTATTCTAGGCACAGAATTGTGAATTCAAATACATTCTTCTTGAGTTTTACCTCCAAACGGCCCTTTACAAATTTTTGTTTTGTGTCTGGAGAAAACAGATCTTGTGCTAGGAAGGCAGATGTGATTCACAGATGAGACTTGGAGTTTTAAGATTTTTTTTTTTACTGAGTTGAGTTGAGTTGTCTGAACTATTGCTGTAGTATACATGGCCAATACACACATGAAAAGATGCCCAAGAGCCATTATATAGAATGCTCAAAAAATTTCCCTTTAATAATTATAGATTAGAGTTTATTTGTAAGTTTTAAACAAAACTTATAATTAAAAAAACAAAACACAAAAACTTGGATTAAAAGCCAGAGAGAGAGAGAGAGAGAGAAGAGAGAGAGAGAGAGAGAGAGAGAGAGAGAGAGAGAGAGGGAAACATCCTCACCTGAGGGTATTTTTCCCATTGATTTTTAGAGAAAGTGGAAGGAAGGGAGGAAGGAAGAAAAATAGAGAGAAACATCTATGTGAGAGAGACACATTGATTGGTTGTCTCCCCTACGTGCTCTGATCAGGGCTGGGGATTGAACCTGCAACCCAGGTACGTGCCCTTGAGTGGAATTCAAACCCACAGCCCTTTTGTGCACAGGATGAGGCTCCAACCACTAGCCAGACCAGCCAGGGCCAAAGTATATTTTCATATTCACTTTGCTTTTATACTTTTGTGGAGATAAATTTTATCCTGATTTGAAGTTTTAAAATATTTTAATTGTATTAAGCTAATTTGTCTTATCTGTTGTTAATGTTCCTTTTTTTAACATCTATGCTTTTGATATTGAATGGAGATAGATACTTGTGCAAATATGTCACCAAATTTTTTGCAGGGACACTTAGTCGGTCTGGATGAACCAGCTTCAGGAGCTGGGCGGGAAGCTCTGCTTAAACAAGAGCAAGCAAAAATCATTCGATTCGAGAAACAAGCAGAAGAGTTCCTCAATGCAGTCTTTTATAGAAAAGGTTGGTTCCAATAAAGAATGACATTTAGCACCTGCTTGTCTTGTATTAACCTTCTTAATTTCAATGTCATTTTTAAAGAGTTACTTTAAAAAGTATTTTTCTTTATTGATAATACACTTTATAATTCTCCATGTTTCTTTAGTCAAGTTAAATTTGAAATAGGGTAAGGCAACCCCACTCCCTCCTTTTACTCTGAAGTGATAGGTTTTAGTTAAATAATTCTTAAAATTATTGTGAAAGTCTGAAAGTTGCAAGGTTTCAGTAGTTCTATATATTGTTAGTCAGATTTTCTTACATAAACAGTTACTGTTTTTATCACTGATAACCATAAAACTAACTGTGAATTTCTAGTAATTTCTCACTGAACTATTGTTTGCAGAGAAAAATGTAAAGTTATGTCTTAAAATTAGATTTGCAAGCAGTTTTTCTCTTTGATGTAGTCTTATTTCACTAGTTTTTTTTTAGTTACTAAAATTAGAAAAAGAAATTTATTATTATAAAATAAAACTTTCCCCCATACATTTGAGGTGGCATTTAGTAGCTTCACCTCTTGTATTTTTCAATTTATCTTTCTCCTTGGAACTTTTGTAGGCTTGTTTTACATTTCTCCAGCCTAAAAGAATAATTGCTACCAGCCAAGACCTTTAGGAAGTTTCCATTCATGAGCCATATTAGTGAAGAGTCTTTACCTTCAAGATATTCTTTCTAAATAGATTTTTAATCTTCAGCAGACACAATGATTCCATTTTCTTTAATATTTCTTCAGTGTTCTAGTTTACACCTGTCATTCCTCTGGAAATTTCTTTCTTCCCTTTTAAGTTTAAAAGCTGGTGTTCGCCTGTACACTGGTTAAAAGTCTGATAAGTGCTGATTCTAATGGGTTGGTTACATTGGGAGACCAGCTGGGCTTCTGCATAATGTAATTAGTATTTTCAAAAGGGTGTATGAGGTGAAGTGTAGTAGAAAATTAAGGAATGCAAAAAAAAAAAAAAGAATTCACAAGATTATTGTTTTCAATGGCATTTAAAAAAAATTTCTTCTATCAGTTCCCTAGACAAAATTAAATCTTTTGTACATCCTCTCTTCTCTTTTAAATAATACCGTCTTGCACTTTCTGACTAAAGCTCCCAACTGAAGCTGTTGGACTCACCTGATTGTCTCAGTAAAGTACCCTGATTCCAAAATTATGTTCAAAACAGTAATATTGTTATTTCGTTTTATGAACATTTGATTGTTTTACTACAATAACGCACATTTAAAGTATAAATGACAAAAAGTTCTAGTAATTCACATTTAAAGTGACCAGTTTGGATCAGTGGATAGAGCATCGGCCTGCGGACTCAAGGGTCCCGGGTTCAATTCCGGTCAAGGGCATGTATCTTGGTTGTGGGCACATCCCCAGTGGGGAGTGTGCAGGAGGCAGCTGATCAATGTTTATCTCTCATCGATGTTTCTAGCTCTCTATCCCTCTCCTTTTCTCTCTGTAAAAAATCAACAAAATATATTTTTTAAAAAATAATATAAAATAAAGTGTAAATGACTAATAGGTCTATCAATTTATTAACTAAATAAAATATCTTGACAGCTCCTCTGCTATGTACTGAATCATGGGTCTAATGCTACAGCAAATGTCATTATCTGAAAAGAGGAACTCTACCTGATGTACATGGAGCAACCACTTTTCATTCACTCGTAGCGTGGAGGGAGTTTGCTTACTTTTCTACTAGTCCCATTTTTTGTCATGCAGAAATAATTTACATTGAAGTTCATAAAATTTTATTTAGAAATTAAACTTTGGAGGACATAACCTTTAGGGGAGGAATTGTTACCTTGAAATCAGTCTTAGAATAAACTTCAAGAGATGAGAATTCCTTAAATTTGTATGTGAAGTTAAATTTGTATATTTTTGTATACTGGCATATGATGCTCAGAAAAAGAACTATTGCTTTGCAATCGGAAGTTCCTTCTGCCTTGCTTTATGTATTAATATTGTTATTTTTAGATATTTTATTAATCATCTTGGAAACATCTCAAAGATGAGTATTAATAGTCTTCAAATTAATATCTAAAATGTTTATTATCCAGAGATATGACAGCCAATTTAGTCTGAAGTGAATATTTTGTTTTTAGTAACTACTTCAGATATTTGGATTTAGTCCTTTGTTTCCAACTATTGCAAATTGTATGTTATAAATAATTGAGTATGTAAAAATTATATCACTAAATAGAAACATTAATGCAATAAAAGTAGGCTTTTGTGGTACGAATTTTATAATAAATTCCAATTTAAGGACAGTATACCTTCTTCAATTGTCATGATCATATTTCTTTTCAGCGTGTTTTGTCACTTGTGTTAAGGAAATCTGATACTTGTCTAAATGTTAGATTTCCATTTTTGAAATATGCAGATTGCTGTGAGGCAGCATTTACATGTTTTTCTGTAGTTTTAATTTTGATCTGATTTGCTGTTTTTTATTTGACTCAATTGTGCATATTCCCTGAGACATGACTCAGTTTATAGATATATTTTAAGAAAGTGAAGGAATGAAAAGTGTTGAGGAAGCTTTCAAAAGACAGAAATTCAAATGCAGAGATGTCATCAATTCATAAACATGAATTGTGGTTTGTGATTGTTATTCATGCAACAAAAAGGTAAAATATGCTGCAGCCATTTAAAGATCAAAGATAGCAATTTGTGTTATTTATCCTAAAACCTTTGATTCCTATGAATCTTTAATTACATTTATTAATCTAGTTAAACACAGAGACATTTCATAGATTACTTCATTTTGCTTCCTGTTTGGAAACTTCTTTATGTATTACATATTCTCCAACTTTTCAGGGGGAAAATATACACTAATACATTAAAACTTGAAATTACAGTGTGTGTGTGTGTGTGTGTGTGTGTGTGTGTGTATTCTTGTATTTAGAGGATTGTATGCTATGTGAAAAAAATGGATCTTGGAAAGTTTAATGAATATTAATAAGAAAACCCATTCGGTAGAGAGATTTTTAAAGCAGTGTATAGCTAAAATGTTTATTAAAAACATTTAAGGAACCATTTTAAGTGATTATATTAACTTCTGAATCTTACCACCTTAGCTAGTTTGGCTCAGTGAATAAATAGAGTGTTGGCCTGCGGACTGAAGGGTCCTGGGTTCAATTCCAGTCAAGGGCACATGCCTGGGTTGCAGGCTTGATCCCCAGTAGGGGGTGTGCAGGAGGCAGCCGGTCAAGGATTGGTGTTTCAATCTCTCTCCCTCTCGCTTCCTCTCTGAAATCAATAAAAATCTTTTTAAAATACACTTCTGAATCTCACCTAACTTGAGCATCTTTATTTCTATACTCTCTGGCATACTCAGAGTTTTTATTTATAGAGAGGACACTTAGGGTGGAAAATACTTTTTAGTAGAGTAGAAATGTTGTTATTGGTAGAACAAAAACCTTGTTAAACTCCAGAGAATTAAATAAATATTCTGACTTTAAATCATTCTCTGGTATTGAATAGTGTCCTTCAAGAAAAAGAATTCTCTGTTTTTAGGAGTCCTGTGAGGTTTTGAGTGTGTGTGTGTGTGTGTGTGTGTGTGTGTGTGTGTGTGTGTGTTTTGTGATAACATTAGATTTTAGTTATGAGTCACTTTTTCTAAATTTGTAAACCAACCTAAGGTCCTTACAGCTCCTGGGTAACGTAATTTATCTTCTATAGTTAATCTTTAAAAGACCAAGGAAACTTAGGTTCTCCATCTTCTAAAACCTCGGAAGTATCGTGGAGAAGTAAAGATCATGGTTGGAACATTAAGATCAGGGGGAGAGGTTTTTTTGTGTGTCTTGTTTTTTGTTCTTTTTTTTTGGTAAATATGTGGTGAGGCAGTGTACTGTGGTGGCCTCAGGAGCCAGATTGCCCCTCTTTAAATATGTTTTTATTGATTTATTTTTTATTTTTTTAGAGAGAGGAAGGGAGAGGGGTAGAGAGATGGAAACATCAATTGGTTGCCTCCTGCACCCCTACCAAGGATCCAGCTCACAACCTGGGCATGTGCCCCGACTAGGAATTGAACCAGTGACCTCTTGGCTCATGGGTCAATGCTCAACCACTGAGCCACACCAGCTGGGCAGGGGGAGAGGTGATTTGAAGAGGCCACTTGATCTTTAGAGCACATTTCCTTCATTTGTTAAAAAACACAGCAATTGAATGGTAATTGATTTGATTGATCCATTTATTACTTAACTAATATGAATGCATACTTAACAGCAGGCTATATTAGGTGCTGACCATACAATGGTGAATAAACATAATCTCTGGCAAAGCTGAGACTCCCTGATCATGTGATCCGTATTGATACAGATGTGATAATATATGTATGCAAAACATTTTGCCTTTTGTTTTAACCCATTTGACCTTCAAGGTCTTTTTCCAGTGCTAAAAATTGAATTAATTTTTTAAAATTAATATTGATTACAAAATGATAACTTAGATGCTTCTTTTATTGCTTCCCTAGCTGTTGTGTTTAGGGGTTGGCACAGTGTATTTAAATAACTCATAGGAAATATGAGATTTTTTATTTAAACTTCTAGCCCAAGGGTTCTAAATTTGTGGCCCCTCCACCGGCAGTATCGAGAAGCCTGTTAGAAATGCCTTGGCCTCACCCTAGAACTGCAGAATCAGGCAGACCTGATTCTACAAGCTCTCAAAGTGATTCGGATGAATATTAAAGTGTGAGGATTATTGCCCTAGCCTATCATTGGTCTTAATATTTAGTATCTCCTTTTATAATCTTGGTACACCTTCAGTCCTTAACAGAAAGTAAACACTCATGAACTGAGTAATCCATGCTTCAGCAGTTTAGGAAGAAACTGCTGATAAGAACAACAGATATGACCTAGAAGTAGTAAATAGGGTAGTAATTATTTTATAAAAGGAGTGTTGGGGGGATTTCTGTATCAGGTAAGTGATTCTTGCCCCCCAAATAGTTATTATCCTTTTATTTGATTCATAATCTTGGGGAGATGTTTATAACTAATTTTATGAAAATGTTATTTTTTAAAATCTGCAACTCATAAGCTTAGAGATTAAAAATATAACTATGAGGAAATGCTATTTTAGGATACTGCATTTTAAGAAAAAATAAAATGAAATTTTATGTTTGCTTAAAAGTTGTCTTTTTTTTTTTTTTTTTTAGTACATTGTCCCACTTTAAAAGTAAATAAATCTTTGTTTACAGACAGTCCCTGGGTCTCCGACCCCAATATTCCCCTAGTGGCCCGTGAGATCATGCAGCGAATGATCCAACAATTTGCTGCTGAATATACCTCAAAAAATAGCTCTACTCAGGACCCCAGCAAGCCCAATAGCACAAAGAACCAAAGCCTGCCGAAAGCATCTCCAGTCACCACCTCTCCCACGGCTGCAACTACTCAGAACCCTGTGCTCAGCAAACTTCTCATGGCTGACCAAGACTCACCTCTGGACCTTACTGTCAGAAAGTCTCAGTCAGAACCTAGTGAACAAGGTATGGTTTGATGTCAAGGTCTCCTCTGTCCAATCAGAATACTTTAACTTGGGGAGAAAAAAAATATTGGCAAGTAGGGCACCAGTAGCAATAATAGAATAAAAACTAATGTGATTCTTAAATTGCTAACTATGCAATGATAGAGAAGTTCAGATAAATTGGCTACCTTACCCATCAGGAGTCTATAGTCATGTTTTATGTACCACCCAGAAAAGTTAGGTAGTTACAGTTGTTACTGATCTTTAAGTTACTTGATATTTATATAAGCATTTTATACTTTCCAAAATGTTGTCATATCCATTGTTTTAAAAAACTGAAAAATTATTTTTTCCCCTTCTCCATCAATGTTCTAGGATTAGCACCTGAGAAATAAACATGTCTTTGTTTGTTAGGTAGAAGAAGTTATATTCTGCAAATGAGATTATAAGACAAAAATGTATTATTTTCAGTTTTAAAAAAGAAGTTCTTAGGGTTAGAAATAATGAGAAAACAGTAAACACACTTCAGGTTGTTAAGTGTATTCATTAAAAAAACACACACACATATTTCATATATGCACTATATTGTGAACTAACCCACAAGCATTTCCAGATCATTTGCTGGTGAGGATCCTAATTAAGTAGTAGGTTAAGAGGTTATCAGTTTGCTTAGCAAATAATTCTTGAGTCTTTGAAAAGTTTACTTTCTTAAATAGATTAAATATTTCTGTTGCTTTGTGATCTCATTTTACCTTAATTTCACAAAGATGAAGTGAGCATTTTCACTCTGCCATTGTTCAAACAAGTAAAAAATTTAAATTGGTAATGTCTATACTAATGAGATTTTGTCATAGAAATTTCATAAGAGTATGCAGAAAAGTTATCAGATGTGTGGATTTATTAGTGAGAAATACATGTTTATTTTACAAAGTAAATTAAGTTTAATTCTTATAAAAACCTGTTTTAAAGGACTTTCTTTTGCTTATTGTAAATTATTTACGAAGGATTTGCACTTAATGGACGAAATAATTTTCCTTTGCTTTTTTCCTGTTTCTGTATAGTGAGTAGCAGTCAGAATGTCTAAGTTTTTCTAAGAGATTTCCTAGCACAAGACCTCGTAGTTGTTCTGTATTCACATTGATCAGTGTACCCTTGATTACATATTTGCAAAGTTGGTTTTTTCTGTTTTATTGAGGATTTTTTTTCTTTACCAAATTGGTAGCTTTCATTAAAATTTTATTGCTCAAAATATTGCACTAAAAGCTTCAGATTTACAATGGGAGAATGACAGCATAGAGATTGTACTTAAAGTATTAATAGTGGAGATTAACATAAAAAGATACCACTAGTCTAACTTAACTTTGTATAGCTAGTCGTATGTTTAAAAGGTGTATTGTTTTTACAGCATGTACTTAAAAAGAAAAATTTGAACTAGGTGATAGGATTTTAGTATACAAGCTCATTGCTTCATTTTAAAATTACATTTCCTAAATGAATTTGTTGCCTATTTGATTACACAGACTTAGAGGTCTTTAAATAATACTGTCTTTGGTTGGAAATATTTTAATTAGTATATTTGCTTGTTAGATATCTAATTGGGTTAGATGTGTAATAGGATACTTGGTTTTATAAAATTACAATTATATATTTAGAAATATTAGTGACTGTGACAGGACAATACTTATTTTGTATGAGTGTGGGCTTTTTGGGCTTATAAACTCAATTGCATATTTATTTCTAAGAGCCTGAAATTGGGAGATACAGTGTCTTCAGGCACAAGTTCTAAGTGGGTTTAATATTGGGGCAGTTTTTAACATAACTAGATAGCTAAGCCTCTCTGCTGTTCAACTGAAAATCAGGGGTTCATTGAGTATTATCTTACTTGGTTAATTTTGGACAGAATGGCAACTAAAAGTTGTCCAGACGCTTGAGTTTTCTTTTCTAGACATGTTTATAAGGGGGATAAAAATCTTTGTGGGAAAAGAAAGTTGTCCGATTTTCTATTCTAGTAACATGAATTTGGGATTTGGTCTAACTTCTAAGACATTAAACCTCTAGGGTTCAGTCATTATTAAGACTATTTTTTTCTTCTTTCTTCCCTTAAACTTTGCCCATCAATTTATAATAGCTTATTAACAACAACAAAGAACAACCCTTTGCCTTTATAAATATCAGCTTGTGAATTTTGAACCTCTGCACATATTTTTCAAAAGATTGACAAATGTAGTTTTTTACAGAGGTGTCCAAAGCATAATTACAATATATGCACATTGTATAAACAGCTAACAACTGATTCATCTTACAGAGTGTATATGTGTAATTTAACCATGTAAACTTATATTTTAAAATGACTTTTGCATTACTTATTGCTTAAACTTTTATGTACTTTTAGTGCTTTGGTAAGATTATTTAGAAAATGAAGTCTAATAGTTGTATGGCTGAACCTCAAACTGTATAAACTCCTATTTCTAATATCTCACTGTATCTTAACATCTATAGTGATAGGCTTTACCTTTTATTTTGCCCTATAATAAAATATTTTACACTTCTAGATATTAGATATAACAAGCTTTGCTAAATTTATGTTGCTTCAGGAGGAAAAATATCCTGACTCTATTAACGAATTGACTTTATAGCTCAAATATATGATTAGTGTATCTGCTAGTTGACTAAGCACACTGCTTTGTCATCTTTGGCCTGTTCAGATCACATTTGCTCCTAGTTTTTAATATCCTCAGGTGTTTCTTTGTGTCTCTACAGACGGTGTACTTGATCTATCCACTAAGAAAAGTCCATGTGCTGGCAGCACTTCCCTGAGCCATTCTCCAGGCTGCTCCAGTACTCCAGGGAACGGGTAAGTGAAAATATTTGTAGCCTTCCACAGTTTTATAGGGGACAATTTATCAAAGATTGATGCCAGTTTCTTTTGTATGTTTTAAAAATTAATTATTCAAAGTAATACTCTTCTAGGAATACCTTTAGTAAAATTACTTTGAGTATACCAAGTAAAAGCACAGTCTCTGATCTAGAATTGGCTGGTATAAATCAATTGTGCCAGTTTAGTACAAATAGTGAATAATCAGAAGCATGGCAAGAATGTCTTTGGACTTTTTGTTGTTGAGTATTTGGGAGTGTGAACCCCAACCTAAATAATTTCAGAGTTCAGATGTAAAGGCAGTACTGTATTATGTGTGCTGAAGTTGTTGAATAAAAATTGGGCTCTAGTAATTAACTTGGTATCTCTAATGTAGTGTGTGGGTGTGTGTCGGCTGTTTGTTTTGTTGATTTGAGCTGCAAGTTTAACTGTGTGGCAGTTCAGAAAATCTGATTGTATTTTTTGTTTTAAAGTAGATACAGACTGGTTGTAAATATTGACAAATAACTATTTTATGCTATCAAGACATTATTACATGCATAGTTTTGATAACTCTTTAGCAGGTTCAAGCGAATTTTCTGACCACCTAATTTTACAGTAAGATTATCTAAGTTTCCTTCTGTGTGTATATATTAACCATTTAGAGAAAAATGAGGTATTAGTAAAGATATATAGATGCTATATTGGGAAGAAATTTCCATAAAACTTTGTTGTGACCAAAAATCAACTTCATCTAGATATGAAAAATAACTTGAGTAAGTTAAATTAGTTAATATTTAGATTTATTTAACTTTTCGATCATCAAACATGGGGCATTGTTTAGATGGTATAGGAATAAGTAGACACTAAATGTACTAACCGTTTTAATTTATATTTAATTACCTTCAAATTGAAGGATTTTTTTACTGACTGCTAAAATGTGCCCTTTATTTTCTCTAAAATTCCATAATTTTCCTTTTTCTCTCTTCCTTTATATTCAGTCTAAAAATAACATTCATTTAATCTATTTTGCATAGTTTACTAATCTTTTCCTTTAAGCTCTTCTTTTCATGGTAGTTTATATGTACTAGGTAGATGCTATCATGGTCCCAAATCATTGGATTCCATTTATATATCAAAAAATTTGAGTTGTGTAATTCAGAACACAAGTAGAAGCCTAAGTGCGATTTGTATAAATGAATTCCTTGCTTATGATTCACTTTAAACTTGGCCATCAGGTTCATGTATTATTATATGGTTGAACTTGCTGTGTTTATCCTTGTAAATGGAAAGAGTTTTCTTTGTGGTATTGTTTTCTGGAAGACAAAAGCACTGACAGTACTGCCCATCTTTTAGTTGAATATTCATTGTTATCCTTATTGTTATTTACTGATAATAGCACAGAGTCCTTGTAGACTTTTGGAGAACAAAGCTAGTTTATCATTATTTCTGCAAAGTTCCACTTTGGTGCCTGTGTAATATAATTCCCATTGGGCATGCTTTACCAGTTGCCAGTTTTATCAATGGTAATCTTTCTCTATTGTGAAATAGAAAACCTTAAGAATTAAATTTGTGTAAGTAATTGACTTTTTAAACATTAGTCAAAAGCTGTTTACTTAAAATTTCAAAATTGATGTTTGGTATTTTAAGAAGAGAGGTTTTTTTATAAAGAAGACTACAAAATTGCTTATATACCTGTGAAAATTATTTGACTAGAACTTAAGGAACAAAGTTTTGGGGGAAATAAAATATAGTTTCCTTAAAGCTTGGGTTATTTCAAATGGAGAATCAGTGGTACTCATGTATCTGCAACTAATAGTGTTTTAAAATGAAGAAGTGTGGTAAGTTATAATGCGATGGGTATTTTGGTTTGGGGTACTTTTCCTTCTTGGGGCTGGTAGCCATATTTTTTTTCCCCAAACAAATAAGAAGTGTCATTTGGAGTTGTTTGATTTTTATAGTGAACATCAACTTGTTTGTGGGATAAATGAACAATTATCTATGGGTTCCACCAATGTAAATGGTTCCAGTTTTATGACTGGTTGTTATGAATGTTGGAAATGTTACATTAAAATAAATAATTTGGCTTACTCTTTTATTACTGTACTTGTTTAGTGGTAACGTCACATTGATAACACAATTCTGTGTAGATCTATGGAGACTTGATGATTACTTTGTAATTAATAATTAAGGTGCTATTTTCAGACAGTTGCGCGAAACTTTTTCTCCGAAAATTTGTGAACCCAACCAGAGACCAGCTGACAGGTTTAATTTTTCTTTGCCCAAAAAGCTCCTGTTTTTTTTTTCTTTTTTCCTTTTTCTTTTTTTGTGAACACGTTTTAAAACTAACTGCTGAGACCATTTTTTTTTTAATTTTAGAGAAAAATAAATAAATAACACAAAGTGATGTTACCCAAGCAAGGCCTTCTAATAAAGGAGTGGTCCCCTCACCCATCCCTCCCTACCTGTGCAAGTCCTGCTCACATCAGTTTCCTTCCATCCAATTAGGCGACCTGGGAGACCCAGCCAGTACCGCCCAGACGGACTTCGGAGTGGTGATGGGGTACCTCCAAGAAGCTTACAGGATGGAACCAGGGAAGGTTTTGGACACTCCACATCACTCAAAGTTCCATTGGCTCGATCCCTGCAGATTAGTGAAGAACTACTGAGCAGAAACCAATTGTCCACAGCTGCCAGCCTTGGGCCATCTGGATTACAGAATCATGGACAGCACTTAATATTATCCAGGGAAGCCTCTTGGGCAAAACCACATTATGAGTTCAACCTCAGCCGTATGAAGTTCAGGGGAAATGGTGCACTCAGCAACATCAGTGACCTTCCTTTTCTTGCAGAAAACTCTGCCTTTCCAAAAATGGCACTTCAAGCAAAACAAGATGGAAAAAAGGATGTGAGCCATTCATCTCCTGTAGATTTAAAGATACCACAAGTTCGAGGAATGGATCTTTCTTGGGAATCTCGCACTGGTGATCAGTACAGCTATAGCTCTTTGGTAATGGGTTCACAAACGGAGAGCGCGCTTAGTAAAAAATTGAGGGCTATTCTTCCAAAACAAAATAGAAAAAGCATGTTAGATGCTGGACCCGATTCTTGGGGCTCAGATGCTGAGCAGTCTACCTCTGGACAGCCATATCCCACATCGGATCAAGAAGGAGACCCTGGCTCCAAGCAGCCTCGGAAGAAAAGAGGGCGTTACAGACAGTACAACAGTGAGATACTGGAGGAAGCAATCTCAGTGGTTATGAGTGGAAAAATGAGTGTTTCCAAAGCTCAGAGTATTTATGGGATTCCCCACAGTACACTGGAGTACAAAGTAAAGGAGAGGCTGGGCACTTTGAAAAACCCTCCAAAGAAAAAGATGAAATTAATGAGGTCGGAGGGGCCAGATGTTTCCGTAAAGATTGAATTAGATCCCCAGGGAGAGGCAGCACAAAGTGCAAATGAATCAAAAAATGAGTAGGAATACTGTAGAGTGCCAATTACTGTACAAACTGGGTGAGCACTACTGCTGTCATTGCTTGCACCTAACTTCATTTACTGTGACGCTTGTTTCTCTGCAGATTTTGCATTAACTTGTGTGTACAGAGGTGAAAGGTGCTTTCTGAATGTTGCATATTTAAAATTTTTCATGTGCGGTATGGCTCGGGATATTGTTTGGCCTTTTGCATGTTTCTCTACAAGAGAATTGAGTTACCTCACAGAGAACAGATACATGGAAGCGGACTCCTTGCCTGTAGAGCCTGCATGCTTTTTATTCTTTCTTTTAAGTTATATTTGCCTTTATTTAAAAACGATAAAAAGCCCCCCTTTTAGAAACCACCTCTGTATACGGGGAGCTTTATCACTGAAAATTGGAAGCCATCTTATAAAATTATTCACATTTTTTCTTCTACGATTCAACTAATTGAAGGATCAAACTAAAGAAAAATCTCTTAAGAACATGAACGTTTGAATTTAAGAAATTTGTTTATTCCATGATAAATAATTATTTGGGTCAATTTTACATGTTATGATTTTATTCTCACTGTTAAATTTACATAACAAATTAGCAGTCTGTTTAGTGCTCACCCAGATGGGAAGAAGGTGGAAAAGGTGCACACACTACCTTCAGAAATGCTTCGGTTAATTACTTTGTAACACTACCTTTGCTGTGATTTCATTTGGGATTTTCTAAGGGTAGAATTTGGTCTCACCAACAAGTGAGGATATAGCCTTATCTCATGGAGGACGAGCTCCGTTCTTACTCAGGAGCAGTCAGGGTACATTACATAACAATAGAGGATGCCTCATTTTAGCAAACTCAGTTTCTTTGTATTCTTAATTCCTTTTATAAATTTGATCACATGCTAACAAAAGACTGAATGTCCTTGCAGCAACTAGTTTAAAATAATCAAGAACTGTTTATTGGGGAATGGGAGAAATAGGAAAGAAATGTGTATAAGTAATTATAATATTGTAAAATGGTATCTAGATTTTACAGCCTCAGTAGTCCGCCCAAATATCCACATGAATGAAGGATCCATATTTGTGGTGAGAGAGAAAAACACAGCCCCAAGGCAACCTATTATGATTTAGGTTGCATTTCAATTCTAATAATAATTCAATCAGAAATCAAGCTCATTAAGAGTTTCTTTTTTATCTAATGCAAATACTAGTACAAGGGGGGAGAGGTGTTTTTAGTTAATTCATTGCTTTAAATCTTTTTTTCTTTATTTGGCATCCATAATATCCCCTTTTTAACTTTTTCTGGTAATTGCTTATTTTTATGGTTGTTTAGCACACAGTTCAGGACCTTTCAGATTATGTTTGAACAAGCACTCCTTGAAGAACATCTAAGCTTTTTGCTTTTTTTTAGATGGACTTTTACAAAATAATTTATCTTTATTATTGAAAGTGTTACAGGTCCTTTTTTTTCTGAGATGGGCTTTTTAAATTACACTAATTAAGTTGGGGACGTTTATTTTCCACATTTTTTTTTTTCT